CACGTAGCTGCCCAGTGGCAAAGGTGTGGCTCAAATCCTCAGGTTCTTTGCTGCCAAACTTCACTTGCCAGCGTACTCAACCCTGAGATGAATAAATGTCAGGGAAGTATTTACACAGTGTCAAGGATCTTCCCAATATTTTTATTAGACCTGTTGTAGAGATGAGAAATAGCAATCTCTTCTCAGAAGTTATCAGCACTGTGAACAAGGGTACTGCATACTTGTTTACCACTTATCACATCCTGGCCCTGTCTTTTCCTGTAGACTTCCTGACTGTGAAGGAGCGCTCCAGGAATTCAGATTCTAGGGGAAGGGACTGGAGGCCTCCTGAGATCTTTCATTCTAGCAGCTCAACAGCCTATGCTCTTTGATCAGTAATTCTAGATGGTGACCAATACAAATCTATGATGTTCTAAGTAAATACAAAGAGGACCTGATGATGTAAGCTCTGCCTTTCTATGCTTCTCCAATTGCTCTTATCACAGAATCAGGTTTCACAAACCCAGACACATTGAGAGAAATACAGCTGATGCTTTTCTCCTTCCAAAGAATTCAATGAAGCATCAGACTAAAACTATCCTCTTGCCTCTTTTATGACAACCATGCCTAATTGTTTTTCAAGAAAGAATTCCATGGTAAAAATCGGAATTTAATGTTATTCATAGGAATTTCACCATGCTGCCATTCTGTGGTACTCTGGCAATGCCCAGCACTTATCATGATGCATTGTCATCTTCCTCACTTTATTTTATTTTATTTTATTTTATTTTTTGCTGAGGAAGATTCACCCTGAGCTAACATCTGTGCGAATCTTCCACTATTTTGTATGTGGATCACCGCCACAGCATGGCTACTGATGAGTTGTGTAGGTCTGTGCCCGGGAACCAAACCTATGCCACTGAAGTGGAGCGTACCAAACTTAACCACTATGCCATGATGCTGGCTGCCTCCCCACTTTATTTTGAGCCCCTTGAGGGCAAGGGTCCAGTCTTTTTATCTCAATATCAATAACTCTTTGCTTAGTAACTGGTGCTATTTATTCAATGAAGGCATCAAGAATTTTGCACAAATAGCATTGCAAAAACCACTTTAGCCAAGCTGATTGAAATTCTTGCTCATATGAAGCTGAATATGTGGCATTAAATAAATGCCCAGGTGGCTACAGCTGGGAGAAATGTTTGCTAACACTACCAAGGAAGGATTGTGGAACCAATGGTTTCAGATATTTAGGGGAAATATCTCCAGATCTTTTTCAACTTATGAAACTGTTTGCTCTTCATTAAACATGGGACAGACCTTAAAACTATTTCCAGTATCACAGGGCCAATCAAAAAGCCAATAAAGCAGAAGAACCCAGAGATGTAGAGAATTGAGAGATGTCATTTCTGGGCTAAAAGATAGCTATTTCCCCCTACTCTTTTTCTTCTTTACTTGCAGAAAGCTCACATTGACGATAACAGATCTGAATGCATATCCAAAATAACTCAACCAAGAGCAATTATTTTAGGGAAAATAGAGCCGTGTTTTGTTTAATTAACATTTATGGACTCTGTCATGTGTTAGGTGCTCACAGCGAGGATAGTAGGCAACAAAGGAGATACAGTCTCTAATCTGAGGACACTCCCATTGTATTTCTTTGGGAATCAAAGTACGTAAGATATGTATATTCCATGCTGTCATGAGCAATTAAGGATAAAGCAGATTACTATATGAAAATGGGATTAGTGTAGACTATGCTAAAAGTATTAATTTTTAGTTACTGCAGATAGAAAACCTTATAAATTGTCTGTAATTGGTATAAAAGCACTTAGAAAGTAAAGAAACCATCTCAATATAGACGTGATGGGACATGGAACACTATCACAGAGCAGCAGAGCAGAACCAGCATGACCCAAAAAACAGTCACGTTTGCCTTGACGCTTCTAGCTCTGGCTTAAGTGAAGAGTAATTTGAACTCAATTCTAGAAACACAATTTGTGTGATTTGCACATTATCTTCAAATTAAAGGCTTAATGTATAAATATATATATGTTCATTATGTGATATAGCTCACATCATATTCAGTTAGTATAAACTTAATGACTATATATAAACCAGATACGTATTATTAAATATTAATATCTCTAATATGTTGACTTCAAAATCCTGGTGCCTAGAATAAACAGGTTAGGTAAACAAGACTCAACAGGAGGATAAAATGGCTGCCAACAATAGCTGTGCATCAGTTACCTGTAGAGTTTGAAAAAGAGAGAACATTCAATGTCTGGGTACCAGTCCTGAACTATCCCTGGAAATCCTTATTCACTGGCCTAGGACACGCCCTCCCAGGTTTTCAAAAGTCTCTTCAAGTGATTCTTAGGTACACGTAAGTTTGAAACCTCTAAAACATGTCTGCCTTAACAAGGCTAATTTCTGTGCTTATGTCACATGTTATCCTTTCAAATAGAAAACACTAATTTAGGGGACTCGGTTTTACCTGCTTAAGTGAATAAGCTACCTTCAAGGGGATCATTTTAAGGAAATACTACTATTTACAAATACATCATATATTTCTTGAAGTAAGGCCATTATTATTTCTCCTAAGAAACCCTTTATTAGCCTTGCCTTCAAGTTACTCTATGCACAAAAACTTATAAGCTCTCACTTATTTAAAAATATCTAGGAGGTCTGGCACCATGGTGTAGTGGTTAAGTTCGGTGTGCTCCACTTCAGCAGCCTGGGTTCGTGGGTTTGGATCCCAGGCACGGACATGCACTGCTTGTCAGCCATGCTGTGGTGGCAACCCATGTATAAACTGGAAGAAGACTGGCACAGATGTTAGCTCAAGGTTAATCTTCCTCAAGCAAAAAAAAAAAGAAAGAGGAAGATTGGCAACAGATGTTGGCTTAGGGCTAAACTTACTCACTTAGAAGAAAAAAAAAAATCTGTGATTCCTTTGCAACCACGTCCACCCTAGTTTTCCATTTCATATTCTGGCAGTGGTGTCCAGCACATTTCACCTCATTGTTTGTCCAGGAAGTTTCCCATTACCACTTTGAAATCCCGGAAATGCTTCAGAAATCATGTTTTCTAGTTTATAGAAGTCCTAGTTGCATTGCTGTGGAAGGGCTTTTCAAAGCATTATAACCCTTAGCTTTTCTACAAGCAATAGAAGCTTCCCCTCTTTATTCTTATACCAGCTCCAGCAGTCTACAAGCAGCATAGCAAGGAATAGGAGCAGGGATCAAATGACGTAGGCGATGGGGGGAGGGGGTCATATAGTTAACCAATAATTTGCCCCTGTTGCCATTAGCAATGGTAATTCTAAACAAAAATGATGTTCATAAATATATACCCATTATTTCAAACGTTTTACTAATTAAGATGCATAAGCAGTTAAAATCTATGAGGTTTTACTAGAATTGACATTGTTCAGCAGTGGCAAGTAAAACCAGTCCGTCATTCTGCAGAAACTTGACTGACCAAAGTTCAAGTAAACTGTAAGAGAAGGGAAAGACTGGATGTTTAGCCAGTTCTGAAGCAGTGCTTCACTACGGTGAATAAAAAAGTGCCTCATAGCTACTTCAAATGAAAATGATAGGAGCTGAGAGTTCAAGTTTCAACCCAAAAGTAAGGCTTCAATTCACTTTCGCTCTGGGTATGAGAGAATAAGCCAATTTGTGTTTAATGAGGAGATACCAAGAATAGTTAAAGAAAAAAATAGGTCATAATTCTATCCTGTTAAAGATATCGTGTTAGACTACCTCCTAATTAGCCCATGACATTTTCTTAAAGGCAAGTGATGCGTCTGGGCATCCGAGTGTCCAATTGTACCAGGGACTTTGAAGTGTATTTTGGGTCAAGCCACTCTTCTCATTAATGAAGTATCTAAAACACCTTTCTACTCACGAAGGCCACGAGTTTTAAGAGTGAGAGCATTTCCCTTGACCTATTTCATTCAAAACGTTCTTCCACAATCACTTTTTCTTTCTTTCCTTTTTTGTAGCATTTTTTCCTTCTTAAAATGTCTTTTGATACATAAGTCATTGTAGTTGAAATTTGAATACTTGTATTGTTAAATGAGGAAGACTTATTGTTAAAACATAAGGTTTGCTTATGTTAATTGATAAAGTAGTAGCCATCCAAAATTTACTACATTAAGGCCCATCTGGAATATATGGATAGTTTTGATCAATTTACTAAAAAGAGGCATTTGGAAAGTTACTAGGTCTAATGTAAGCCAATTAAATTACACAGGAAACTTTATTTTATTTAATCCAAAGAAAGCAGATTCTAGATTATTTAATAAAATAAAAGAATATGAGGATGCTTCACAGAAACCTATGTCACCCTGGAATAAAGACGAGAGACTATCTCTTTAGATGCCAAACACTAAAACATCTGTTTCATTCAAGGAAGGACTATACTCTGACCGAATTATAAATAAATATGTTTGCAGACAAAAGAGTTAACAGATGGCTGGAAATGATTGTCCATATCAGCGAGTGTTAGCAATGGTAAAAAATAGTTATATAAAAACATACTAATTTTGCCACTTACCTCTTTTTCATATTGTACCTAAGGGAAAATTTCATAGTACAAGCATTGCATGTAACATGAATAACTATGAACTCAGGAAGTTAAATATTCTCATAGGTATTTTTTCTATTGAAAATGGCAAAGTAATTTACTATTCTGGAGACAATTTAAGGAAGCTTCAGTTAAGTTCTGCCGTTGTACAGAATAATTGTCATTGCACTGAAGGTGTAAACTAAATAAAGTAAAAATAGCCTCGTTTGTGAACCAGCTGTGCATCTGGCATGAAACTGGGCAATGCAAGCAGTATATCACTTAATAATACTAACAATAATGCAAAGAAATATCGTCATGCCTGCTGTAAAGATAAAGAGAATCTAAATGGCAATCAAAGTCAATTAATAAAGAATAGGCATAGTTGGGATATAAACATGAGTCTCTTTAATTCCCAAGCTACAACTTTATCCCATGCATCCTTTTCACAGGTCCCTGTTTTCATTACCTTACTTGCATGTTAAAATTATATTGTGATATTGTCTCCATATCGGATCATTAACTCTTAAGTAAAGGTAAGACTTAATTAATTCTTTATTGCTAGAACAAAGCCACGTCTTCACTTTGGCTCAGTGTATAAGCTCAAAGGGACATCTTGTTCATCCCACAGGGGGATTTTTTTCTATTGTGATTAAGAAGACTTAGCATGAGATCTACCCTCTTAATAATTTTTAAGTGCACAGTACAGTGTTAACTATAGGCACAATGTTATACTAAGTCCCTACATTTCAGTTTCCTCTAAGACTCAGGATGTAGCCTTGTAACAGAGGAGCTGAATGGCTGGTTGACATTTTGGTTCCATGTTCGTTACATATCTCTTCCTTATCTACTCTACTACAAGGATAGATGAAGTAAAGCACTTTTCTCTCTGCTGGAGTGCCGTCAAACAAAGGATTGATTACCCCTTCCTAACAACCCTCAAGTCTCCCTAGCATATCTGAACCGAAGCTAGCTGGCAGATAAGAGAAGAGGATAGCTCAGCCTATCCCATTAGTCCCATATAGGTTGTGAGAGTCCTGAGCTTGGATGTTATAGATTTCAGCACCCACTGGGAAAGGACAGCTCATGAAAAAGTCTTTGTTTTTTGCTGTGGAAGATAACCTAGGGCCTACTTTCAAGTTCTTTTACAGTAAAATGGTGGCAGCTAATGTTATTGAAAATGTACTATGTGCCAGGTACATTAATATGTATTACGCTTAATTTGTATTACATTTATATGCTTAATATATATTCATTTGTTCTTAATGAGAACCCTATGAGATAAGTGCTATTATCATGAAGTCCATTTTGTAGGTGAGGAAGCTGAGGCCAAGAAAATTTAAGGGACATGACCAGATGATGCAGTGACTTGAGAAGCTGATTGAGATTCAAAGCCAGTCCATCTAGCTCCAGAATTCCTGCATTTCACCATTAGTCTACACTGCCCATCTCCTAGATATCAGATTGGCAGTGTTCCTCAGATGCTTGCCAAGACATCACTTTGCAAGCTAAAGTTATCATTGATAGTACTTAAAACAAAATGAAAATTATATTTAAGAATGTCATTCTTGACAGAATGACCTACCAATATATTTTGTTTCCCTGTATCATTTGTAGGAGTTAACTGTGTTGATGAGAGTTGCTATGCCACTGATTCAGAACAATTAACTTTGATTAGTAGATCAATTTGCGACCTTGAAACATAATTTTGACAGATAAAATTCTTCAAATAGTATATTTTCTGCATTCTTAATGAAATACAATATAGTGCATTATGTGATCAGTGGGTACAAAGAAATAAGATTGCTTGCGTGAAAACAACAGCTCATTTCTAAAATGTTTCATTTCACTTTATTCTCAAAGACTGAGTGCACAAAATAAATACAACACCTTTTTTTTAACCAAGAAAAAGATTGTATAAACAATTGTACCAGAAGTAAATTATATATACTAACCACCTTGGGGTTTTTGTATCAGACACAGCATGGTATAAAGTAAAGGGCACATATTTTCAAACAAAATAACAAATTTGCATTCTCAAACTATATTATAATTTACCAGTTACTTGATAAAAGAAAATTTACTTAAATTTCTATACCACTATTTTTCTTATCTATAAAATAGGAATACGCATATTTATCACATGAATTAATTATCAAGATTACATAAAGATAATATAAACAACTTAGTATTTATTAATAGTTCCATAAATTCCAAAGTGGATTTACATTTTTACAGAAACTCTTCTGTATAATATTGTTACTATTATCATTATAATAACTATTAGTATTTTATTAAGTAATCAACCTAGAATAATGATTTTTTGGTAAACATTCTAAACCTAATAATATCATTTGGTCATTTCAATAATGCTTTCTGGCATCTTTTTTCCTGTATACTTAGGTCATATGCCATACATTGTATGCATTTTTCTTTTTAAAGATTGGCACCTGAGCTGACATCTTTTGCCAAACTTCTTCTTCTTTTTTCTCCTTCTTCTTCTCCCCAAAGCCCCCCAGTACATAGTTGCATATTCTAGTTGTGAGTGCCTCTGGTTGTGCTATGTGGCACACCGCCTCAGCATGGCCTAATGAGCAGTGCCATGTCTGCACCCAGGATTCAAACCGGCAAAACCCTGGATCACCAAAGCGAAGCGTGCAAACTTAACCATTTGGCCACGGGGCCAGCCCCCATATACCTTATGCATTTTGACATGTATGTGTAATAAGGAAAGAAGGATATATTTCATTAATCCTGAAATTCATTACTATATGCATGGTACTGGATCAGGTGCCATTGGTACTAACAGACATATTACTGATTGTTCCTATCCACAAAAAGCTAATTACTGAGTCTGGCCGGGTGGCATAATGGTTAAGTGTGCACTCTGCTTCCTTGGCCCAAGGTTCATGGTTTTGGATTCCAGCCATGAACCCACATATCACCACTCATCAAGCCATGCTGCGGCAGCTTCCTGCATACAAAATAGAGGAAGATTGACACAGATGTTGGCTCGGGGACAATCTTTCTGAAGCAAAAAGAGGAAGAATGGCAATGGATGTTAGCTCAGGGCCAATCTTCCTCACCAAAAAAATAAAGAAAGAAAGAAAGCTTATTACTAAGTTGGGAAGAAAATTTTCACGAAGAATTAATGAACATGATAGTACACACTAAAATTTTATTTCCATGGAAAAATTGGAGAATACTGCTGCATATAATAATGTAATAATTAAATTTTATTTGTATTACATTTAATATAAGATAAAGGGTGGTGAAAATTTGAATTATCTAGAGAACGCCTATGGTAGACTTAACATAAGTGTCTTCTTTGGTAGGTTTTAAAGTGTCAAGAGACATAGCCATGTGACTGGAATCTTTCTGATGGCCCCACTGGCATTAAATTGATGCCGTGTTTCATCAAAGTGAATTCATTTGCCCACTGCACTTTGCTGAAAAGACTAGTGGTAGAGTTAGAATGACCGTGATGATAATAATTATTAGAACCAGAAAGAAATATATACATTTGGATATTACTGAATAAAGATAATAAGTATTTGATTTCCTTTAAATACTTTATCTTTGGAACCAAGTTGTGAGTGGATTGGAGGTTGGGTCAATCACTTGCCCATTTGCTTTCAAACCTATTTCTTTGTCTGTGTCCTCGCCCAATATTTTCACCTAATGTAGACACAGGCAGGAGATTGAGGGAAAGAGAATGGGAGAAGCATGCCTATATCTCATTGTCTCCCTCTGTTTTGGGTTGATTAAGGCAGTATCTGCTTTCTCTTTCACGATTCTAGTAGCTGTTGGGTGAACCCTCTCCGTCTTTCAAGCTCTTGCACGGTGCTCCTAGCACTTAGTTTCTAGTAGCAATATTCTTTCTTTGTCTTTCTAGCTCTAGAGCTGAGAATACTTTGTATACTTACTTGTCTTTGGGTTGCCCAACCTTCCTCAGTGTTCAGCTTTTCAGTACATCTGTATCTAGTTGCCCATATTGAATTATTCTATGCTATTCCCTGGACCCTCTGTTCCTGGATGTACCTTGAGCATTGGAGCTGTTCAGAGGGATGTTTTTCTGGTGGAGTCATTGGTGTAGAGTGACTACACTTTCACATCCAGTGTGCCTCCCAGGCAATGGGTGGCCTACGAAATCTGTTACTCCATTGCTCAGCAGAGTTTCTTGACCTTACTGCACAGCAGAGACAGTGCAATAGGCCTCTTTCCATGCTCCATATGTGCCCCTCTTTCAGCTGCAGATTTGGGAAATTAGGATGAAATTGCCTGATAGAATAGGTCATTCTTCAGTTTAGTGAAATGATTAGCTGAAAGCTCTCAGGTAGAACCTCTAAACAAGCTCTCAATTTCTGTTGTAACTTCAAAGACATAACTAGAAACTGAAAATGCAAGGGGGGAAAATGGCAGATTAGGAGTCAATCTGAAATTATTAGAGTTTTATTTTCACCATTAACCAGCTGTATAACCAAAGGTTATGGGGAGAGGGAGAAAGATTGCAGGGAAAGGGGACTCAATTGAAAAGATACATAAAACTATTCATGAATATGACACAGAGACACAAACAAAAAAATATGATGATTCGTGCTTTATTAGGCTGGTGAATTATATGAAATTTTCCTCTTCATTTCCTCAATTATTTTTAATATTATTTTGTGACTTTTTTGAAGAATTTTAATTTATTTTAAAGGATTCTATTCTTTCCCGATGTTAGCTAGCTAAAGGAAAGCTTTATGAGGGGAGGAGGAAGGAAATACAGAGAAAGAGAGGCTTTCAGAGCCACGGTTTTCCAGAAAAGACAGGACTCGATGAGTTTTGTGTTCTTATGAGATAAGAAGCGAAGAGGCTGTAACTAATGGGGGTGGAAAAAGGGCAGCATGAGGCCCAGGGGTGGTGGGCTCAAGCCAAGACAACTTTGCTCTTGGCCTCCTTCAAATGCCTAGTCAATCCCTGGCATGTTAGAAATAATCAGAAACAAAATTAGTTATTATTTCTATCGGTAAAATACACCTTGGTATATTTGTAATGGACTCATAGAGTATCCTAGTGAAAAATGAAATGCTCATAAAGTCTGTATAGATGGCTATATTATTGCATTCTGGGTTGAGAACAGAAAGTTTTGAAACCAGGAGTAAAGAGTTACTCTGTAAAGAAGCAAGAATTGTAGAATGTGAAGTAGATTTAATAGGGCTTTACTTTTGTGGTCCTGCTGAGTTACTATTATCTAAAACACACAAAAGCTGTTTCACCTTGTTCATGGTTTCTTCTAATGGCTTTTCCCAGATAAAAGTATTTTCAGTGTGTGATTATTGAGGTCAGAGCATTGTTTCAGTGTAATTGTTTTTTGTTGCCTTTTATTCCTTTCAGGAAATGGCATAAGAAGATTACAGTTCACTAGAACACTTGATGCTTTTTTTTTTTCCACTAAATAAATCAGACACAGGTAAATGGTCAGATTGACAACATCTTTGAGTGTTCCAACAAATGGGCTTTATTTAAATTGTACCATTGTTGATAATACCTGGCTCTAAAACATCGTCTGTGATTTAAAGGACATTGACACTGCCATTGCAAGAGGAGTAACAGTTGTGATGTTGGTGCTTTTGCAGTTTGGTAGTGAATTGGCTAGTTTTCTTCTTATGTACAAAAGCCTCTCAAACACTCCAGTTTTCTCTGAGTGCCAACGAGGTATTAACACTGTGATTGATACAGCTGCACATTGAAATGACCTGGAGAACTTTCCCAAAACACTGATGCCCAGTCCTCACTTCCAGGAAATTCTGACTTCATGTTTAAGTGTGGAGATGAGGCAAGAGTATGTTTTAATGTGCAACTTGGTTGGGAAATATCCTGTGAGGAGACAAAAAGGAAAAACAAAAAGTAAGGCAAGATTTCTCTCCTATAAGGAGTTTATAACCTTGATAATTAGACAATCATCAAGGTCTTATGTCCTATAGGAAAGTGGAATTGAGGAGCCACGTGAGGACAGAGTGGTGATCAGGCAGATAGAGTATTCTAGATAAGTCGTTAGCATTGAATCACAGAATCACTGACATCTCTAAAACATGCCAGTTTTCTTGTAATTCTATTTTGTTTGTGTAGTACAAATAGCCAACTGTGTTAATTTCTCCCGAATATATATATTTTAGTATATAATGTAACTAATTTTCCATCAAAACTTTCAGGCCACTGACCTTGGCATTTTCTGACAAGCTGTTAACTTGCACATGGTTTCATTGTTCAGTGTAAACCTCTGGCCTCCCATTTCCCACCCTGGTCCTATGAGCAGTCATCCTTCTCCCCAAACCCCCCTAACTCCACTCCTTCTCCCTAGATAACCTAACCGCATACTTTCTGACATAAGTGTGGCCATCCCAACTCCTTCTTCAACAATTGACCAATATCTCTACCTATAACCTTTTCTCTTCCCTTCTGACTCAGTGAGTGGAAGTTGTCTTCCTCCTACAATCTTCACATTTGCTCATGCCAGCCTCCTCATGTATGGAAGGAATTCCTTCACATAATTGATTCTGTCTATCCTTCAAAGACTTGTTGAAGCTTCAACTCAGGAGAGGAGGCTTCCAATCATTTAGTTTGGGAGGGAAAGAACAGGAGGGAATTAAAGTCCCTTATAGCACCTATTCCCCAGATATAATGTGCAATTATTGGTTAAACTGTTGTCTTGCACACAATGTGCTATACCCCTTAAAAGAAGCCACCATGCCTTATTGAACTTTCACTAACCAGTACCTAGCACGGAATAGAGTCTACAGAAACATTTCCATCCAGAGAGCAAAAAATAGAACATGATTTATTTTGAAATAGCTTATGGTACATATAATACATTGTTTATTGATGAGCCAGAAATATTAAGGAGAACCTGGAGGCCTGTAAAAATCTCCACATTACCCAGAATTATTATAGGCATTTAAAGGTAATAGCATAATGAGATATTAAGGAGACTTACTTGTGAAACTTTGTATGAATTTATAACAAATGGCCAAATGCTGTGAGCTCAACTCTGCAGTGGACAATAAGTCACAGCCAGCTTGAGAGACAGCATCAATTATAACCTCACCCTGACAACTTGCCACAAGGAGAGCAGAAGGTAACATCGAAGTGTGTCCCAAAAGTTTTCTGGTGAGAAAATAAAATGATATCAGAAAAAACACAATTTTTTAAGTTTCTTCAATCTGAATTTCAATCGGTTGCAAACAAAGGGCAAAATGGCAAGTTGTGTTTTGCATGGAATGTTTCAGGCTCTGAAGGGGTGTCACGGGAAGTTGTCCATGGATAACCTTGCGGCCTCTGTGGGATGATTCGAGTGGTGGTGCTCCGTCAACTGGAGTTATTGTCAGAGACTTTTCTATAGTTTGGTAATTTTTGGTCCCAATTTAAATTAGCTGTATTTCGTTTGAAATGTGACCCACGCTGCCTTAATTAAGGCCATTTTTATTGATCTGTCAACAAAATCATTTGGGGGATGTTGGAGAATAGAGAACAATTGGACTGTAATGTTCAGGCAGAAGGATGCTGCAATCATTATGTAGCATTGAAAAAAGAAACAAAATCTCTAGAAACATCATTATTAATGGTGTCTGAAGTTTATACATAATGTGTTCATTCAGCCTTCATAACAGAATGGGTACATTTTCCTTATAATAGCCATGATGGTTTTTTATAATGCAAATAATGCTGAAAAAAACCCCATGGGTTTCCATTGGAATCAGAATAACATCCAAATGGCCATGGTGCACAAAACGTAAAGGATCTAGACCCCGCTACTTCCCTGACCTCATCTCACTCCACAGTCTCTCTTCCTCTTTATGGTTTAGCCTCCTTTGCTTTCCTGGTCCTTTGCTCACATCACAACACTCTCTTCTGAGAGCCTTAACCTATGTTGTTTCTTTTGCCTGGAATGGTGTCTCCCAGATCTTTTCAGTGCTAGTAACTTCTTGCTGTTCATCTCTGAAGAAAAGAGTCATGACTATCTAGTCTAAAATAGCCCCATTCGTTACCTCCCAGTCTTCTGAATCTCCTTATCTGATGTTATTTTCTTTCTTGGCACCTTTCAATATCTGATATGATCTCATTTCTTGGTTTCTTGTTTCTTTGTTTTCTCTTGTCCTCTCTTGAATATAATCTCTATGAAAACAAAGGACCATATTTATCATGTTCACTATTGCATCCTCCGAATCTAGGATAAGAGCTACTCAGATAGTTACCCCATGAATGAATAATTGAGTACTGTAATGTACTGTATTTAAATGTTGCCTTATTCCAAACTGGAAAATGTTCATAGCCTTCCAATGAATAACTAATCACCCTTTTGATTTCTAAACATGAGGAATCATAAATCTCTCGAATTAGTTCTGGAGTTACATAATACCAACAGCCTTATACTTCTGTTTAATAATGATTTCACATTAGACTTACATTGGAAATAATCACACTAGTTCTGGATGCTACTGGCTTTATATCCGATGGTTATACTTATTTCTTTCTTACCCAAGTCGGGGGGTGAGTGCGTAGGTAGGTTATGACAATTGATGGGTTAATTTCTTCACTTATTTAGCAAGTATTTATTGAGCACCTCTTATCTGCTTAGTGCTGTGCTTGGGGTAAGGCATAAATTGGAATGGCCCCAACTTGCATGGAGTTTACAGTTTACTGAGAGACCGACCAGACAATGAGATGGCTCCTTAGAATGAATCACAAAAAGTGCTATGATAAGGGAATGACAGAATGCCAAGGGCACACAAAGCTGAAGTACTTGGTTCAGCTTAGCCTGTCAAGGAAGGTTTCCCGAGGAAGTGGCATCAAACCTGAGCCTAGAAAGGTAAATAGGAGTTAGTCAGAGTTAACCATGTAACCACCCAGCCTGATCCATCAACTAGAATAATTGCTGGAATCCAATTCTGAAAATGCTTCATTCTATTTCTGGCAGTGTTAAATTCAGTTTTCTTCCGAATGTACTCTACCTGGTTGCTATTATCAATGTCATCATCATCATCATCATCAACATTTATTCAGTGAAAAATTACTTATAAACTCTGTATGTATTTTATTCAAGTATTCTTCATAGTAACCCTGGCAGTAGGTACTAAAATTATATTTATTTTATATATGAGGGAGTGAAACTCCCAGCATTTTACCCCAGCTCATCCTGCTAGTCAGTACCACGTGATTCTATTTTCTGCTGCTCTCGGTGATATCTTCATTGAACTCAGTTTGCTAGGGAGATGCTCTCCTTGGTTGGTAACATCGGTCGCATGTCAATGTAGACAAAAGGTGTGCTTTAATGCCCTGGTTTCCATATCTGACACTGACCTTGTGACTTTCAGGTCATTTCAGATAATGGCACTGGACACTTACCATGTAGCTTCAATTCAGATGTAGAGTTGCTATAGTGACTTACTTTATGACCTAGCAAGAGGGAAAGTGTCCTCTGCCTCAGGTTGCTAGGTTTAGGATTATTGCTACCTTGAATTGTAAACTTCTTTAAGATATCTTAGTGGAACAGAATGTTCTTCAACTTAACCTTATAATAGAACATTTTGAGTATAAAGTTGCTAGACAGAGGGGAGTTACCATGCACTGGCTGTACCAAAGTAAGCATCTCCTGTGAAGACTAGCCAATGCCTCTGAATGAAACTTCTGTGCTTGACTCTCTCTTCTAAGAAATGCATTTTGTAGGCCTATAGCTGCCACTGATAGTGATTCCTCTGATGGATCTGGACAAAGTCCATTGAAAACCTCCTGGGAAGGATTTACCATTCTAGATGCCGTTAAGAGCATCTGTGATTCACGGGGAGAGGTCAAAATATTAACATTAACAAGAGCTTGGAAGAAGTTAATTCCAACCTTCATAGGTGACTTTGAGGGACTCAAGACTTCAGTGGAGGAAGTAACTGCAAAGGTGGTAGAAATAGCAAGAGAACTAGAATTAGAAGTGGAACCTGAAGGTGTGCTGCGATCTCAGGGTAAAACTTAGCAGATCAGGAGCTGCTTCTTACGGATGAGCAAAGAAAGCGGTTTCTTGAGATGGAATCTACACCTGGTGAAGATTGTTCAAATGACAACAAAGCATTCAGAATGCTACAAACTTAGTTGATAAAGCAGCAGCAGGTTTTGAGGGGGCTGACTCCAATTTTGAAAGAAATTCTACTATGGGTAATGCTATCAAACAGCGTTGAAGCTACAGAGATATCATTCATGAAAGGAAGGGTCAATCAATGCGTGAAGTCATTGTTGGCTTATTTCAAGAAATTGCCACAACCACCCCAACCTTCAGCAACTACCCGATCAGTCAGCAGCCATCAACATCAAGGCAAGACCCTCCACCAGCAAGATTACAACTCACTGAAGGGTCAGATGATGGTTAGCATTTTTTAGCAATAAGGTATTTTTTTTTTTTTTTTTTTTTTTAAAGATTTTATTTTTTCCTTTTTCTCCCCAAAGCCCCCCGGTACATAGTTGTGTATTCTTCGTTGTGGGTCCTTCTAGTTGTGGCATGTGGGACGCTGCCTCAGCGTGGTCTGACGAGCAGTGCCATGTCCGCGCCCAGGATTCGAACCAACGAAACACTGGGCCGCCTGCAGCGGAGCGCGCGAACTTAACCACTCGGCCACGGGGCCAGCCCCTAGCAATAAGGTATTTTTTAATTAAGATGTGTGCATTGTCTTTTTCAGACACAATGCTATTTCATACTTAATAGACTACAGTATAGTGTAAACATAACTTCTATATGCATTGGGAAACCAGAAACTTTGTGTGACTCACCTTATTGCAACATTCACTTTGTTGGAATGTCCTGGAACTGAACCCACACTCTCTCTGAGGGATGCCTGTATTTATACTACTGCTATTAATAATAATTGGTAGAAATATCATTTATAAGGAGTTGTCAGATGGGGATGTTAGTGCCCAGATCTCCAGATTGACATGTCTGGGTTTTTTTTCCATTTTAGCTAATTTGATTAAGTTTTTCACTTCACTTTCCGTGTAAAGAAAATGTAATCATCAGCAGAAGTGATGATTTTAAAGCATACCCAGGGGAAAATGAAACATCGAGGATTCCCAGAGAGATTTGATAAGTTTACAC